TTTAGTTTGAGTTACATGTTTTATAGTTTATATTGTTATATATTTTAAAATAAAAATTATTAAATAATAGTCTTTAATATTAAAATATTATCTTTTTTTTTAACAATTTTGGCATTATTTAGACATATATAAGAAAGGAAAGAAATCACTTATGTGGAGCTTGAACACATCACCCGCAAGGGGTGAACAGTCTTAATTCAAAAATATTATCTTATTTAATGGTTTAAATTATATAATGTTGTATAATTGTACAATATTTTATTAGTTTAGCATTTCAGGTTGAATAAAAAATTGTTAGTCATCCATCAAGTTTCAATTTTAAATGGTTAAAGACTTTTTATGTTTGGAGGTTTTCTACAAAAACCATTAGCGCTTCAGCAACCGAAAACGTTGAAGCCACCAAATTAGCATCATTTAGAAAGAAAAGTCCTAATGATATTAATATTTTGGTGGTGGGTTCAACTAGGTATATTAGAAAACAAATGGCTTTAGCATGTTATGCAGATATATTGACAATTCAATAGGACAACTTATTTGAATTTTTTTAAATATTCAAAAAATTAAAGTTGATTATCTTAATAACGATCATCTTAGCAACTCTTAAAGCAATCTTAATAAGAAAAGAAGAAGTTGATAATAAACTCCTACACAATCTTAAAAAACTAAGAATAGAGTTTGAATCATTTCTTTTACACCCTAAAATTTGAAGTACCACAATAGTTGTAAGCAATCATTTTGATAATATTATTTGTTTCTTCAAAAATCTTCAAGTGGCTTTACATGTATGGAATTTGGATGTGGGCATACCACTTACATTTCTGAAAAGTGAGAAAAAAGGAATTTTCCAACGATCTTCTCCTTCTACACGGTCGACCTCTGTTAGGATGACTAAAAGAACATTGGTTTAAGATTGAGTTTTGTGCCCTTCCGACGATTTGCAAGATGGAGGGATGTCTTCTTACATAATTGGTTGCTAATCTGCCTTGGACAATCTCAATAACTTTACCATTACCATGAATTTAAATTAATAAATCCAAAATGAACTGAATGAGATGCAATTTAAAATAAACTTTATGTTTATTGTGCGAAAGGAAATCAAAGAAGCAATTACATAAACTAATTTGTGTACTTGAATGTTGAAAACAACTTAAATCTATTGGGATCTATGCTAAAACTGAAGTATAAAAGCTAAGGTAAGCAATCACTACGAAACTAGAGAATTGAAAATTTGATGAGTTTTGTGTAGAGCTGGCCGTGTCCGTTGAAAAACCAAAAAGTTTCTATTTGTGTCATTCCTGCAAACTTTCTTTGCTGATCAGATCATAGATAACTTCCTCCTAAATTCTAGGGATTTCTGTTCTTTTTAAATTCAAGCTACAACAAATCGAATAACCTTTATTCTCCCAACCAACGTTACGAATACACATCCCTTCAATGGATTTAATCTCACCTTATTCATTGACACATAACATTATTAAAAATGCAATTTATGGTGTAAACATTATTATTATATAAAAATATCCTTGAAATTTCTTAGCAAGCATATTTACAAAGATGAAATATTCTTTTTGCATCAGAAAAAATGCAACAAGCATGCAGAAGCTACTCTGCAATACCACCAACTACAATAGACCGAAGTAATTTTGTCAAAATGGCCACACAAGTCAGCAAAAATGGTCAACTCCCAAATGCATTTTACTTTTTATTTATTACCTTTAGTTAACTTCAACCTATAAATACCCATGTTCTCTCCGTTGTATGCATCAAGTTTTAATCAAAGTATTTATGTTAAATCTCTGCTTGAGTGAGTTTTATAAGAGTAGATTTCTCTTAATTTATTTTTGTATCTCAAGTTTTGCTAACTTAAGTGGTATTCCAGGCAATCAAATTCATTATAGTGGGATTCTAAATCTTGTCAAAATCTATGTTTCACTATCGGCTCCTATGCCACTTTATACCAATCTAGTTATAAGCAAAGGGATTTAAGTGAGGGGGGTGCTATGCAAATGAAAAAAGTTGAGTGGGTCATATGCCACAACAAGGAAACTGAAGGGGCTGAATTTCACCTCCTGCCACAAAAATATTGAATACCTAATATTCCTAGTTGGCGGCCTTCTCAGGGTCAGTGTTCTTTCTCATTTGGCTTTGGTTTTTCTCGTAACAATTACGCTCACAATTCCAGCCTTTGATTCTTTCTAGTTTCTGTTTGGATTTGCTAGCTCCAATGGAGGAGATCAAGATCAAGCAGTTGTCTTTCGCGCCCGATAACCCTCCGCTGCCAGTCATTGTGGCGGCCAAGGTTGCCGGCATAACTTTACCCACCGACACTTCCGCCACCTCTCCTACTCTTCATCTCCCTAATGGGTATCGTTTTTTTTCCTCCTTTTGTCTAATGGGTTTAGGGTTTCCTTTTTCAAGTCTTGGCTTTGATTTTGAGAAAACCCCATTTGTTTTTCTAGGCTGAAATTGCATGGAACGCATGTTATTCTAAGATATATTGGTCGAGTTTCTAGCCTTTCCAATTTCTATGGGCACAATGCGTTTGAAGCTAGCCAGGTAAGTTTCTTTGGTTTGTTGATATTGAAGCTTTGTCGCTTGTGATGATGTTACTTTTGGGTCAATGTTGAGTTTATTTCTACCCAATCCAATCCAGGTTGATGAGTGGTTGGAGTATGCTCCCATCCTTTCATCCGGTTCTGAATTTGAGAATGCTTGCACCCACATGGACAAGTACATGGAGAACCGTACTTTTTTTGTGGGTCATTCATTTTCTATTGCTGATATAGCAATCTGGTCAGGCCTTGCAGGTAAAGTTTCAAAATTTTTGTTATTATTTCATTTTAGAGGATTCTTCTGAAATTTTTTATTATAACTTGCAAAATATTTGACTGCATTCTGAGAGAGAACAACCTTGTGGTTTCAATTGGTTTGTATGCCATCACAGAATAACATTCTTGGCCATTCTGTAAAAGTTCACTGGCAATTGATGGAGCCTTGTTTGACGCCCTTTATCACTATCATCTAAATGCTATAATTGCATCCTGTACTTTCTAGTTTGTGCCTTGAACCTTCAACTTTGTCTTACATTGTTTTCTAGTACTGATTGGTTGTCTATTTCTATGCTTCATAGGAACTGGGCAAAGATGGGAGAGTTTGAGAAAGTCAAAGAAGTATCTGAATTTGGTTCGATGGTTCAACTCAGTTTCTGCAGAATATAGTGATGCCTTGAATGAAGTCACTGCAACATATGTTGGTAAAAAGGGCTTGGGAAAGCTGGTGGCATCCAAACCAAAAGAGCAGCAAAGTGTAAATGGGGATATTTCTGAGAAGGGGAAAGCAGGCAGCAAGCCGTTTGAAGTGGATCTTCCAGATGTTGAGATTGGAAAGGTGCGTTTGCGATTTGCACCTGAACCTAGTGGTTACCTTCACATAGGCCATTCAAAAGCGGCTCTTTTGAATCAGTACTTTGCTCAGCGCTACCAAGGTCAAGTGATTGTGCGCTTTGATGATACAAATCCTTCTAAAGAAAGCAATGAATTTGTGGAAAATCTTTTGAAAGACATTGAAACATTGGGAATTAAGTACGAAACTGTTACATATACTTCAGATTACTTCCCTCAGTTGATGGAAATGGCTGAAAAATTGATCCGTGAGGGTAAGGCTTATGTTGATGATACACCACGTGAGCAAATGCAGAAGGAAAGGATGGATGGAATTGAATCCAAATGTAGAAGCAACAGTGTGGAGGAGAATTTAAAGTTGTGGAATGAAATGGTTGCTGGCTCTGTGAGAGGTTTGCAGTGCTGCGTCCGGGGAAAGTTAGACATGCAAGACCCAAACAAATCACTCAGAGATCCAGTTTATTATCGTTGTAATCCTGTTCCCCACCACCGGATTGGATCCAAGTACAAGTTATACCCAACTTATGATTTTGCTTGTCCATTTGTTGATTCTATAGAAGGGATAACGCATGCCCTTCGTTCTAGTGAATATCATGATCGCAATGATCAATACTATAGGATTCAAATGGACATGGGACTCCGAAAGGTTCACATTTATGAATTCAGTCGCCTGAACATGGTCTATACACTTCTCAGCAAGCGAAAACTGCTATGGTTTGTGCAAAATGGAAAGGTTGATGGATGGGATGATCCTCGTTTTCCTACTGTCCAAGGAATTGTTCGTCGAGGACTCAAAATTGAGGCATTGATTCAATTTATTTTGGAGCAGGTATGACTGGGGAACCATTAAATTAACTTAAGTAGTCTATAATAAATGCATCTTCATGGTCTTAGCAGCCTCCATTATTTTATTTCTTTGCATTTTCATTGCAAACTGCTTAATTTACATTGTTCATATGAACATTATTATTTATGTAAATAGTTGTTTGTTTTATAGAATAAGCTTTTATTTTCTAAAATATTAACAAATGCATGCTTATGTTTCAGGGGGCATCAAAAAATCTCAATCTTATGGAATGGGACAAACTCTGGAGTATTAACAAGAGGATCATTGATCCGGTGTGCCCTCGACATACTGCTGTAATTGAGGAGCGACGTGTCCTGTTGACCTTAACTAATGGTCCTGACGAGTCATTTTGTCGTATCATCCCCAGGCATAAGAAATATGAAGGTGCTGGAGAGAAGGCAACAACATACACAAAGAGGATATGGATAGAGCATGCTGATGCTGACTGCATCTCAGTGGATGAAGAAATAACCTTAATGGATTGGGGGAATGCTATAGTGAAGGAAATTATTAAGGACCAAGATGGAAATATAACAAAATTAGTAGGAGTTTTGCATCTTGAAGGATCAGTGAAGACCACTAAGTTGAAACTGACATGGCTTCCAGAAACAAAGGAACTAATCAATCTTACATTGGTGGAGTTTGACTATCTGATAACAAAGAAGAAGGTATGCTCGAATTTATACTCTATTGCACTTGTCACCCATTCATCCATTTTAAGAAAAAAAAAAAAAAACCAGAGTAGTAGGCATGCCATATGTCCTACCAGTGTATTCAGATTCCATACAAGAGACTTCTAATCTATCAATTTGATTTCTCTTGGGTTGGGAAATAACTTTTGAGCTTGTTTTCTCCCCAAGTCCGGATAAAGGACTGTTCTAGGTATAATATGTTGAGCAAACTTAAATGCATCGTGAGGTAGATGAGAATGAAGAACTTGTTATTGTTGTTCAATTATCTTTTAAGAATATGGATTGTTGTGCAGATCAAACATTAAAATAGGAAGTACAATTATTTCTGCACATCCAAGTTTGTTCTAGATACTGTATCCAATATTTTTATATCTGATATTATTGCCATATCTTGACTTTAAAATGATATCTTTGTAAAAAGGTATCTGGCACTGAGGTGCATTAACTTCACCCTTGGGAGTTGAGATATCCTGTAATTCACAATTAGTCATTTTAGTATCCAGTGTATTGTGGTTAACTGCTCACCTATTGATCTGAGATATAGTTGTAGTGTGTGGTTTATGCCTTTTAGATTAAAGAATTTATGTTTTCATGGATGCAGCTGGAAGAAGGGGAGGACTTTCTTGATGTGCTGAACCCATGTACAAAGAAGGAGATTGCTGCACTTGGGGATTCCAACATGAGCAATTTGAAGCGTGGAGAAATACTGCAGCTGGAGAGGAAGGGCTACTTTAGATGTGATGTTCCATTTATTAGAGCATCAAAGCCAGTGATTCTATTTGCAATTCCAGATGGTAGGCAGCAAAGTGTGTTGAAGTAAGAAGTTTGCATTTGACTAGAATCTCTACTGTCAGCAACATGTGTTGAGTAAGAAATCTGTGTTTGACTAGAATGTGAATCTTTACTGTTCAGCTCTTTTCTTTCTGATGTACTGGATGCTTTTCTAACGTATATTGTTATGTTTTGAAGATGTTTTAAAGAAGTATGCTTTATAATTTATTTAAATCTTATGCTATTGCTTCTTTCCTCTGGTCCCACTAATATACCATACTGCCAAGTACAATGTTTGGTATTTTATATTGGATATAGAAGAAATGATAAAGAGCAGAGATATCTGCATGCAAGTGGCATGATATAAGATCATTTTATTGTAATAGTAAAGTTGCAAACAAAAACCAGAAGTTAATAATGCATTTTTATTAGGATTGGCATTTGCATATTATCTGTGACGTACTTGATACTGATCTGCAACTTAAAATGTGGGCATTTGCTGGGGATTTGAGGTTTGATTGGGGACAAAAGATATGAATATGAGAATGAAGGTTCTGTTGTCGAAGTGAAAGGCCATTTGAAGAAGGAGCATGGTATATAGTCTTTAGTTTTTAGTAATTATCTTTTGTTTTGATTTATATATTTGTGATATATAGTGTTTTGAAACCTAATAATAGTAGTACTCAGTTAGGATATTTCTTCCCTAAATTATTTGCATTTCCAACTTGCTGCAACGTCTGCAAATGCAGCTTCAACACTTTCTGGTGTTGGGGACGTTCTAAGTTTCAATTACTCAATTCAATTTTCTTCTCCCTTTTGCTTAATTCTGGATAAATTAGGCTTTTATATATATTTATCTTTGCTCATTATTATATTTTTACCAAGAAGGTAGAAGAATTTCAAATGATTCATACAGAACATGATTGGGCAATTAATCCAATCTGAAGGGCAAGCTTTCCATCTAATTTTTCTTTCATGGTTAATTTCCTGACCTATTTCAATTCTAGAATGTTGCCTCATTCATAATAATAATATGATCTGTTTGTGTTGATGTACATAGTTTTTATATAGTTTATCATCTTAGTATTTTCAATTTATATTGTCACTGGGAGTGATATAATTGAATTATTCCCAGAAGACTCAAATAACCTTCTTCTCAAAAGTTTCTCACCACAATTGCTCCTACCACATTACATCTTCTTTTGTTTGCAGAACAGGATCATACAGTTAGTCCAACCTCAAGGGTAAGCAATTTCATTAAATTTAACTTTTAATTGTTAATTTCTTATATATTTAGTTATTTCATATAATTTAGCAACTGCATTCTTCAAAACCTTGGGGGTCATGTTGAGTTGTTGAAATTGGGGAAACCTTGTGTGATGTTTGGTAACAGGAAGTAAGTTGTATGTGATTGTAATCCTACCAGTGACAAGGTTTTGGCATCATTATTGCAGATTGCCTATTGAATGAAGATAAGATTCACCAGATATAGCCAATAGGTGGCCTGGGAAGGCATTGACACTATTGGATCAACCAGTTTTGTGACTCAACATAATTGAAGGTAATGAAATTCCTAACTTGAAAGCATCTACCCATTCAATGAGTTGTAATCTACATGCATGCTTTTGTAAAGATCTTACTTTACATCTTTTTTTTTCTAATTGGCAAGATCTTACTTTACATAATTATTAAATTAAATGATGAATTCAATTCCTTTAACAAGCTTGATGATTATCCAATGCATTGTTCTGTTCGTATACCATGTAAGTCATGTATTGTATGCCAAGATGCTGTCAAGCTTCCCTAGTTATTTCTTATGCTGCCATATCAGGTTGTATCTAGATTAATTCCAAGCTTCTGTTTGTATATGGCGGTCCTTGATATATACATAGGCCTCGGCACATAGATTGAAGTGTTATTTGATTTCTGTATTCAAAGTTGTTCTTTTGAAACTAACATTGCATTCTTACATGGGAGTTTGCTCATATATAAGGAGGAAAAGTGGAAAACTCAAAAGAGAAAAAGGGAAAGCTCTATGAAAGTAATTTCTTTGGGATTTGTTTAGGTATTTCTTTTACTTTAGAACCCCTCTTTATTTCCTTAGCGTGGTTCAATATTTTTGGTGTAGGATAGCACCGCATCACCACGTTAAAGTGTGCTGATATATAAGGGAGAATCAGAAAACTCCAAGGGGAGAAAGGGATAGTTTGTTCTGTTGCTTTAGAACCCTATATTTTCCCAGCATAATTCAATGTTTTTTTCCAGAAGATATAGTAAAGTGCAGCATTGTATCATTACCTTGGAGTTTGCTGATATCCAATTAGGAGGAAAGTTACTCTTAGTTTTTCAAGTGTTTTTGTAAACCCTAGATTTTTTTTTTTTTTTCTCACCAAAGTAGCAGCATATTGCAACATCCCTCCAAGTCAGTAGATTAAATAATTAAATTGGTACTTGCATAATTAGATACAGATGATACATCACAAAATGATACACAAGTAGATAATGTTTAAAGTCAAATCCCTGTAGATATACACAAACACAACACCACTTCAACACAATCACACACCACAGAATTCATTGGAAATTGTAGCTGAAGCTTTGCATGATCACTCTCTAATCCCGGATCCTCTTGTGGAGGGATAAGATAGAGAGGATGGCTAGCAGCGCCAGCAAAACTGCAGCAAACAATGCAACCGCAAGAGAGGCGGCTAGATGCTTGCAGTGCCTGTCATAAACGTAGCACACCTTAGTCCAGTCTACGTGCCTGTTACCCTTTAACTCAGTGTAGGCGATTGCCCCTGCTGCTCCTACGGCGGACGCTACAACCCCCAAAATCAGCTGCATCAAAACATCAGCAATATAAAATATTGTCAGAATTGCTGAAAAGTTGGTTTCATTTCATTTTAGCAATTGCAAGAGCAGAGAGCTTACCAAATCCCAGAAAGCAAAATGGAGCAAGAATTTCTTGGAAAATTCTGGCTTCAATATAACAGAAATGGAAGCAATGATCGTGATGATGCTGTATAGACCAGCAACTGATAATGCTGCTACAAAGTATCTGCAGAATGTAATGTTATGGAAATTAGACTCAAACAATTTCGTTTCATTATGAGTTCATGAAAAAGTGAAACTTGTATTAACCGAGTACAACAGATTCTCTGACACGATAAAGAATATTTATAAAATCCAATTGATTGAAGGTTTTAAAAAGAAACCAACGATTCGATTAAAATAAGGTTAGTGGTTTGGCCAACTTTCTCTTTATTATTAAAAAAAAAAAAAAAAGGAGAGAAAAGGGTCACTTTCATCTTCCATGATAGGTGACAAAACTTTTGTTGGATATGAGCAGATATCCACAATTGCAGAATTCTATTATTGAGATTAATGATTAGCCTGCCATAATAAGTGAAGTGATCCTTTTATTAAATAGTAAACCTCTGTTGCCTAGACTTTGATCATGTCAAGTATCTGACATATGTATGTTATATATAGATGCAAGAACCTTTCTTTTTTTTTAACAATTTGGCATTATTTACAGGTATATATGGGTGAGAGGGGAACTGAGTTCCATGGAGTTCGAACACGTCACTCACGAAAGTGAACAGTCCTAATCCAAGGTCTAATGCCACTAGATCTGAACGAACCATTCTTTTTCTTCTTTTTTTTTTAACATATTTATAATTTAAAAGTAATGAGATTCGAACCTTAATTTAAGGGTTGAAGAGATGTACTTTACAAGTTGATTTATAATCATTGGGTTATGAGGTTTGAATGCATAAATATACCAATTTTAATGTTTATGTTTGTTGGAGTTTGGATTATATTAGATTTAGATTGTAAAATAAAAAATTTAAAGTAAAATAAAGATTTCTAATATTAAGAATGCTATTCCTAATTTGATTAGTGTTTTTATAAATTTTTTATTTAAAATTAATAAAAAAACCTATATAGAGCAGCAAGATACTTTTTCTCTCATTAGTGTTTTTATAGATTTTTCATTTAAAATTAATGAAGAACTATATAGAGAAACAATCTTCTAAGTTATCAA